ACATCCCCAGCCCTTTTTATTTTTTATTTTCAGACAGAATCTCACCAAATTGCCCAGGTTAGCTTGAACTTGAGATCCTCCTGCCTCTGTCTCCTGAGTAGCTGGGAGTATAGGTGTGCATTGCCATACCCAATTTATAAAACCTTTTTTATAAAGTCTCCAGAAATTGTCTTAAGTGTATAAAGAAAACAGACTTCTTGGATTTCTTCAAGATCTACTAATATTAATAAGATCAGGGTAAGTTTCTGACACTTGGAGTCCCTCCACCTTCATCTTTCACTTAAGAGTTATGGTATTTCCTTTGAAGGGCCAGGTTACCAGCAGAGCACACGATCCCATGTCCTTGGTATAGAAGTAGTGAAGGTCCAGGTAGGTGTAGCCAAGAGGTCAGGGGCTTCCTCTATCTACAACTCAAAGGACAAAGCCTCTTCCCAAACCTGGTAGGCTGAGGATCCTAGGACCTTGCTCCAGTTTGCTCATGGGCAGAACTAAGCTGAGAAGACCAAAGGCTATGACCTTTACCCAATACCTTCCACATAAAGCAGAAGGGTCAGTTTGAGAGAAGTGGGCCACTGCCTCCACCCCCAGCTCTAGGGCACAGACAATAGAAACTGAGAGTTCTGTGATTTCTCCAAGAGTTTTGACATTATTTGGAATAGAGTTTAGGAAAATTCAAGCCCAGGAGACTCTTAAAAACAATGCAGCTGGGTGTGGTAGCACACACCTATACCCCAGGAGCTTGGAGGCAGAGGCAGGAGGATCGTGAGTTCAAAGCCAACCTCAGCACTTAGTAAGGCCCTAAGCAACTTAGCAAGACCCTGTCTCTAGATAAAATATAAAAAAGGTCTGGGGATGTGGCTTAGTGGGTAAGCATTCCTGGGTTCTATTTCCAGTACCAAAAAAAAAAAAAGGAGATTTTGTTGGTAGGCATTTATGAAAAGCCTTGTAAATTCATGAAAGCAAAAAACTAAAATATAGGCCATCAGGTCTACCAAAGTGGACCAAGAAAAGAGCCAACCAGGCAGAGCTCTCCTAGAGTCAGAACAAACTTGATAGACTGGCCTCAAGAAAAACGGACAACTTAATTGGATTGAAGTACGGAGCAATTAATACTCAGAGCCACTGTCAAACACAGTCGAGCAATCAGCAGGAAATCAGGGGAAGCTAGTAGCTGCATATAACCCACGGAGGCAGAAAGAGTAACAGAAAGATCAGGAGGAGACACAGCCTAAGGCTACAATTACTGCCTTCCCAGGGTGACTCTGCATATGCCAAAAGCTATGCTCTCCAAGGAGTGACATCAGAGACAAATGTGGGGCTAATAGTAGTTAACCAAAATAATCTCTACTATCAAGGGAACAACGAAACTAACCCCGTGGGTGGAGGAATCAGTATGCAGAGTTGCTAAATTATATCATTAAAATATCCAGTTTCCAATGAAGGGAAGGGAGCGGGGAGAGAAATAGGAAAGACAGTAGACTGAATGGGACCTAACTTTCCTGTGTTCATGTAGAATATACAACCAGTGTAACTCCACACCATATATAACCACAAGAATGGGATACTAATTAGAATAAGTTATATTCCATGTATGTATAATGTCAAAATACACTCTACTGTCATGTATACCTAAAAAGAACAAATAAAAAATTAAACTGACAAAAACATCCAGTTTCCAACAATAACGACAAAAAGTAAGACATACAAAAAAAAAAAATGAAGTGCTACCCAAACACAGGATGGGGGCTTAGCAGACAAAGATTACAAAGCAGCTATTGTAAACATGCTTAGGAAACTTGAGGTAATCATGCTTACAGAGATAGAGGGGAAAATGACAGTATCTCATATGAGAATATCAACACAGAGAAATCATAAAAGTGAAACAACTGGGAATTCTGGAGTTGAAACAATACAGAATGAAAAATTCATTTGAGAGTCAACAATAGATCTGAACCGGTGGAAGAATTAGGAAAGATAAATGGACAGGAATTATGCATGTAAGCATGTCATTTTGGGTCCTGTGAGCCTTCCTTAGCAACTGACCTTGGATTAACTGGGCTGAGACAGTGTACACCACCTCCTTTTGTAACATGGCATTCTGTAGCTTTGGGCCTTGTGGCCGTTTCTCATGTGCAGCCTATTCCTCTCTCTTGAGTTATCCATCCATAAGGCACATATTATTTTGTTACTTTTCATATTCAGTTGTCTTTTTTCCTTCCCTTATTTTCTCAGTTAATAGCCTTCTGTGTGCTTCTTGGTTTCTATTTCTCTTGGGTCCACCTGCACTTTAGTCTCCAGTGACCTCTGGTTTTCAGAGTAGCCTAGCAGTAAAGTCTTTTCCAGTTAATTTTAATAAAGGTGTAATTATATTCTTCCCAAACCGATGATTTATTATCTTCTATGATATCTATGTGCCTCCTGTTTTGAGAGCATATGCTAAATCAACAGTTTCTCACATGTACTCCCATCAGAATAGTTCTCTCCCATGGAGATGTTGCTTTTCTAAGGGTTTATATTAAACTTTGGTCTACATTTTTGTCTAACAATGATGTGCATTCTGTGTGTGCAGTAATGTGTGCCCATGTGTTCTTGCTTTACTAGTACCTCTTTCACATCTCTAAATTCTTCCATAGTCATCAAACTTTTTTTGTGGGAGGGTGGCCATTTTCTCTTATATCCTTCATATTTCATGACTATCATTTGCCTATGCCTATATAGTCTAAATTTAACATTCTGTCTAGTGCTATCATATTTCTTTTAAATGCTTTTATTAGTACATAAAACTCATTGGTTTTGAAAATCCATATATAGGCATTTGGCTTCTGATAGCCCATCTTTCTTTCATGTCTGACTTACTTCTACCATGGTCACAGATTTGTTAATTATCATAGTTGATCATATTACATACATCTCCTGTTATTTGAGTTATGTAATCCTCTCAGTTGATTGGCTCAGCAAATGCAAACTTTCTTTCATTGCTCAAAGAGCACAAGGATTAAGAGGTATAGAAGAAGAGGGTCTTCCTCTCACAAAGCAAAAATACTAAGTAAAATTATCTAGATAAAATAAATCCCAGGGAGCAAAGACAAAGGCAAGGATTCGTTCATATTCCAATAAACACCAAAAAGCAAAACTATAGATAATAAAATGGGTCAGCTTGAGGCAATTATCTAAATTTTGGGTGCTACAATTTTTAAGCTATCAGCATTAATATTGTTGCCAAAATTAAAATCAGATACTTGTAAGAGGGATATCGTCTTATTTTACAGAAAATTTATTAGACTAACAATTTATAAGTATTTATACCAAGCAGCAAGTACGGTGCTTGCCAACAAATCCTTTCTGAGAGCTAACACAGGGGAACTTTTCTGGTTGGTAAACTCAAGTCAAAAGATAGAGTCAAGAGCAGCAGCAGAAAGAGAAGTTGATGTGCTTCTTTGGGGAGCTCCTGTGGCGGGCATTAAGGAAGTGATGAGGGTACTGTCTGGGACTGAGAAGTAGCCCTGGTGATCCTTACCTTCTTTAGGCACCCACATCATATCTAGCTCTTAATATGGTTTCTAGCTGTCCCTTACTGTACTAAACAGGCTTCGCCAGAGGTTTTCAACTAGTGGAGTCCTAAGCCCAAGAGCCCACTATCCTGTGGGGACGGACCTGCTAGGGATCCTTCACATTCCAGTGTTACATGCTCAGATTCCAGAAGTCCTAACCCAATGCTGCATTTCTCCATGAAGAGAAGGGTTAGATGCCAGCTTATCAGTGCTATATACTGATAATAAGGAACAAAATGGGCAAAATAGGCTTCTATGAGGTTAGGCTCTTTGTGCAACACCACTTCTATGGCCATCAGAGAATTCTAAATAGTGAATGAGGGTCATATCACCACAATCCATTTGTAAAGTGGATACAACTGCTTATATATACAACCTCCCATTTGCAGACACAGTAGCTTGTTGTGTGAGCAAAACCTTTTAAGTGCAAGGAAAAGTTAACTTTACACAGAAAAACCTGGCACACGCTACCCCAAACAGGTGGTCAAGGTTGGTTAGCACCGTGACCCTTCATGTTGACAGCATATGGTCTTGCTGAGAATGACATTTACCTCTGTAGGCTTCTTACCAAAAGCCTGCTGACACCAGTATAACCATGACAAGAAAATCTCAGACCCAAATTGAGGGATATTCTACAAAATACCTGGCAAGTACTCCTTAAAAATTGCCAAGGTAATCAAAAATATATGAGAGGTCAGAGAAATGTCCCAGAGCAGTAGAGATTAGAGACACAACAGTTAAATACAGGATGGCATCGTGGAAGGGATCAGGGGATAGAAAAGGTATTAGGGAAAAAATAGTGAAAAGCTGAAAAAAAATTTACTTAATATAAATGTATCAGTGTGACTTTGTTATACAAACATACCATAGTAATATATGATGTTAACAGGGGAAACTGGATGAGGAGCATATCTGGGCTATAACTAGATATTCTGTACATCTAAGCTATTCCAAAATGTATTTTAAAAAGGGCTCTGGGACAATTTTCTTTTCGTCTGTGCTTTTCTGAAAAATCAAACATGTAGGAAGAGATGCTTTTTGGCTCTCATTTCCTTCTTGGCACTGTTCAGTAAGCACAAGTTGCATCCAGGTGTCAGAGACTAAGGAAGAACAAAACTATTCCCTCAGCTGCTGACACCTCCTGCCAGGGTTAATGATGTATGCCATCAGTGATGGTACCATGACACAACTCTTATCCAATGGTGGGTTTTTATTCTTGCCTCTTGTCTTTGGCAGTGATGCCACTAAATTAACTGAAAACAAGCCAGTATCAAAGAAATACCTATTTCCAATCAAGGTTAAAGATATACCATCATTTTCCCTCACACTATCCTTTTACCCAATATAAACAAGCAATAAGGACTAGAGAAATTTTTCCAAGAGAAACTGACTTACTGTCCTCATGTTCAATCTACCTGATCAAACTTACAAAAAGAAACTTGACCAGGGTTAAGAGAATTTTTTTATTTTTCCAGGTTTTCAAAATGATTCCACTTTCTTCTTCATGCTAAACAAACCATAAGCCTGAAATATCACAGATTAACCAAATGTTTTATTGGCCAAGACTATATTACATTACATATTTTCCCCCAAATGAGTCTGCTGCTCAGTACCAGTGCTGTGCTTCTGGCATGAAGTAGCCCTTTCCATTGCAATTCTAAAACGTGCTGTCCTAGCTGGTCCAAAACAGCTCTGATTTACAGAAGTGTACAGTGTGAGAAGCCATTATGTTTAAAAATTAAATTAAGAGGATACTCAGGTTATATGTGCACAAGAGGGCTAAGGATATTTGTCTTAAAATCACTCAAAAGTGTAACAACAACACAAGTACTGCTACCACCTACACATACACAATGTTAGATAGACAAAAACATAGAAAAATGCCCAAGAATGTCATGGGCCTTAGCAATGCAGGGCCAGATTAGCAGGAAGGCCAAAAATCAAAAGCACCAAGTTTAAGGAAACCAAGAGAAGAACAGTCACTCATTCTGACAATGGAAGTGGCCATGCGCAGGGCAAGTGTGGCTGGCTCCTACCAGAACTCACCAGCACTGATGAATCATCTGTTTGCATGTCGACTCACGGGTGTTCCACATAGCTCAGAGACAATTCAAACATTTATTAGTACTGTCCACAGAATTCAAGTTATTCTTACACTTTCAAAACTCAACAGTCTACAGTGACTTAGTCTATAGGTAAATACTATCTTATATATTTTCTATAAAATTTTTAATATTACACAAAAAACACAGGTTTTGATGTCTCAGTTCTAGGTAAGGATGTTAACCTCAGTTCTGAAACTCATGTATTTCCTCAGAATAAATTATCTGAAGACAAACTTTCAATATTTGTTGAAAAATGCTACTTACTCAAAATACAAAATTTTAACCAAGTTATTTGATGTTTAATGCAGTTCTCTTTGTGGTAAAGGCTTTTTTTCCCCCTGAGATTTCTCTGGCTCTTAATAAAGGCTTCTGGTTATTAAGATGTTGATGACAGTATTGTCCTGAGACAGCTCTGATATGCAGTAAGTTGAATCTGTATAGGTCTTCTGACATTTAATATGTTCCTAGGGTTTCACTCCACGCTAACAAGAGAGCAGGCCCAACGATGTGCATTTAACAACAGACCAAACCTGTAAGAGCCTAACATAACACACTAATCTTTGTTTAAAAAAAAAAAAAAGGAAAGTCAAGTACTGAAGACCTGGAAGTGGAGAGCTGTCCCAGGCACTTGTTTCCTTTCCCTGTCTGCCACCTCCCAACGCGGCACTCAGGTTTGCTGTGGCAGTCGTCTCCACCCCACTAACCATGGACCAGGGAGAATGCAAGGTGATTTTTAAAGGACTGGGCTTAAATGTGATATTTGGTGTCACATTCCCTGGCCAGCCCCACCTGGACCAACACTATAGGGAAATCTCATCAAGCTATACCTTACTGTGCGTCATGCAGTAAGGCAGGAGTTCCCTGAGGGCTTTCCAAACTCATTCCACACTGGGGCTTTTGCTCTGGTGTGCATCCTGGTGCGATGGACCCTAAGAGCTGCCTTACGGACAAAAGTTTTTCCACACTCATCACATTCATAGGGTTTGTCCCCTGTGTGAATCCTCTGGTGCACGCTGAGAGTTGAATTCTGGGCAAAAGCCTTCCCACATTCATTGCACTCGTAGGGCTTCTCCCCTGTGTGAATTCTCTGGTGTGCACCAAGGTGCGATTTCTGGGAGAACGCTTTCCCACACTCACCACACTCGTAGGGTCTCACACCTGTGTGAACCCTCTGGTGCACCCTGAGAGTTGAGTTCTGGGCAAAAGCCTTCCCACAGTCGCTGCACTCGTAGGGCTTCTCCCCCGTGTGCACCCTCTGGTGGGCACTAACATACGACTTCTCGGAAAAGCTTTTCCCACACTGGTGACACTCGTACGGCTTCTCCCCCATGCGCGTCCTCAGGTGTGCTCTGAGGTGTGACGTCTTGGAGAAAGCCTTCCCACACTCAGTACACTCGTAGGGTTTCTCCCCTGTGTGAGTCCTGTGATGCGCTCGGAGGGCTGAACTATCAGCAAACGTTTTCCCACACTGACTGCACCCGTAGGGCTTCTCCCCCGTGTGCGTTCTCTGGTGGGCGCAGAGGTGTGTCCTTTGAGAGAAGGTTTTCCCACATTCGCTGCACTCATAGGGCTTCTCCCCTCTGTGAATTCTCTGGTGCACGATGAGGGCTGCCTTGTAGACAAAACGTTTCCCGCATACGTTACACCCATAGGGCTTTTCCCCTGTGTGGGTCCTCTCGTGTCCACTGAGGTACGATTTCTGGGAGAAAGTTTTTCCACATTCACTACACTCATAGGGTTTCTCCCCTGTGTGAATTCTTTGATGTGTGCTGAGGTGTGTTTTCTGAGAAAAGGTTTTCCCACACTCGTTACATTCATAGAGTTTCTCCCCTGTGTGGATTTTCTGATGTGCTCTGAGGGCTGAATTGTGGGCAAAAGTTTTCTCACAGTCACTGCATTCGTAGGGTTTCTCCCCTGTGTGAGTCCTCTGATGCACTCTGAGGGCTGAATTATGGGCAAAGGTTTTCTCACAGTCATTACACCCATAGGGCTTCTCCCCCGTGTGAATTCTCTGATGGGCTCTGAAGGCTGAGTTATAGGTAAAGGATCTGCCACATTCATTACACCCGTAGGGCTTCTCCCCTGTGTGAATTCTCTCATGGGCTCTGAGAACAGAAACATGGGCAAAAGATCTCCCACACACATGACACGCATAGGGCTTCTCGCCTGTGTGAATTCTCTGATGTGCCCTGAGGGTTGAAGTGTCAGCAAAAGCTTTCCCACACTGGCTACATTCATAGGGTTTTTCCCCAGTGTGAGTTCTCTGATGTGCACTGAGATGTGTCTTGTGAGAGAAAGTCTTCCCACATTCAATGCATGCATAGGGTCTTTCACCCCTGTGAGTTCTCTGATGTGCTGTCAGATGTGACGTTTTGGAGAACGTTTTCCCACAGTCAGCACATTCATAGGGTTTCCCACCCGGGTGAACTTTCTGATATTCCTTGAGATGTCCCATCACGGAGGTTTTCGCATACTCACGGCTGTGGCAGATCTTCATCTCTGTGTCTGTTCTCTGCTGTCCCATGGGGGGTGGTGTGTGACATTTCCTGCAGTCGTTGTTACCATAAGGTTTCTCCTTTGTGTGAAGCCTCAGATGTTCACTGAGGTTTGACTTCTCACAGAAAGTGTTCCCACATTTATTGCATTCACAGAGTTTGGACGCCATATGAGTTCCAGGATGCTGACTAGGGTGTGAATGTGAACAAAAGAATTTCCCACATTCCTCACATTTGTAAGGGTTCTCCCCTGAGTAAGTCTTCTGATCCTGAATGGGGTGTGCTTTCTGGTAAAAGGATTCCCTGCATTTCCCGTACAGACCTGACTGGCAGGGTTTCTCTTGAGTTTGCTGATGTGTGATAAGGCCTAATTTCCAGAAGAAGGTATTAGTACATTCAGGACATTCACAGAAGTTATCTCCAATTGGCTTCTCCTGATGTACTATGTGGGCCAGACTTTGGCTCAAGTTTTCTTCACATGGATTGCTTTCAAGAACACTCTGTCCTGTAACAGGTCTCTGAGCTTGAATTAGGGGTAACTTCCCACATGAATTAATACCATTTTCATCACATTCCTGGTGTGTTACAGCCAGGTGAACTTTACTGTACTCCTCGATGGTGGATTCGCAGCAGAATTCCCCACAGTCACTAACATCAGAGCACTTCTCCCTTGGGTCAGCTCTCGTGTGGCTAAACAGAGTTGTCCTATCACAGTTTTTCCCAAGCTCATCACCCTGACAGCACTGCTCTTCTGTTGGAGAACTCTCAACTGTAAGGCAGACAGTTTTTTCATACAAAATTTTCCCAAACTCACTGCATTCAAACAATTGCTCCAATGTTTGAAATCTCTGATCCTTATCTTTCTTAACACTAACAGTTTTCACATTTTTATTATATTCATGAGATTTCTCTCCAGTATGAGTGTCCCTGTGTTTAATAGAAAGCTGCAAATTTTCACATACAGTCATGTAATCAGCCTTCTCTCTTGAATAGTCTCCTTCACTAATAATTAACTCAGAAATGACTGGAAAATTCATTTGACATGAATCATGTTTATAGGTTATTTTTCCTGAAAAACCTGAAGCTATGCCCAAATTAAATGGTTTTTCTAGAACTTTCTGTCCTTCTTTACTCAGTGTTTTATCACCAATGAATATTACTTGCCATAGAGGCTTCCCTTGTTTGTCTTGATTTCCCTTGATGTGGACGTCTACTTTGTAATAACCTAAAATGAGAAAAAATTGGAAACATAAATCTTACATTTCTTATGTAAAGGAACTTAAACTATTTTGTGCTACATATTTTATTCTGATGTTTCTGGTCATGCATCCAAGATCAATTCACACACACAGAGACAGCCATTCTCCTCCCTCATCCATGGATGTTGTTTTTTTTTAAAAGCACGTATTACTTTCAGTGAGAGCCAAAACAGAATAGCCTCATTCCTCCAAGGTTCTTCCTTCTGACAACTGAAAACCCAACAAAAGAAAAGTAACTACATGTGAAAATGCTTCAAAAAATGTAAAGAAAGTGGACCTCAGAACTTAAGAAAATGACACAATGGAGAATTCCAAGGCTTTTTTTCCTACTTCTTAGATGTACTACACTGTACACTGAAGAAGCCAATGATATGAAGATAACAAAGATACAGACAAAAATATGCTCTAAGAAAAGTCTATTCATTCTAGTCAATGGTCTCAAAGGTCTAATAAAATAGAAACTTTTTTGGACAAACTCCACCTACTCAAGCCAAACAAAACTACAGTTCCACAGAGGCTGAGCAGGAAGCGAATCTTCCAGGGCCAGAGACACAGAAGACAGGCGGTTTTGTATTTCCCTTCGTGAGCCAAATGACGAGTTTATAGGAAAGATGATGAAGGATACAAAGAAAGTTCCATTTTGGGAATATGCTGGGAGATGGTGATAGCAGCCACTGACAAACCCCACCTGCAGCCATATTCTTACTAATTTATAAAACAAAGAATCTCAAGAACAACAAATATTTTGTTTTAGGGCACCAGTGGCAATTCACAAAAGATAGAGGAAAGAAACAACAAAGAAAACTTAAAGCACAGAAACAAGAGGAAGAAGTACATGGTAAGCGTGACCCCACAGGTAGGAAGATGAGGTTGCACTTAGATAACCACACTTTCAAGACCTGATGACACAATGCGTTCAATAACAGCTGGATTCACATTCTTCTCAAATGACATGAAACATCCTAGGATAAAAGAAAAACCTTCACAAATATAAAAGAATGGAAATTATACAAGGATGATTTCAACCTCCAGAGAAATTATACTAGGAATCAGTAAACAAAGGTATACGGAGAAATAAAAATATTTGTAAACTAGGCACTTTTGAATAACTCAGGAGTGAAAGTGGAAGCTTACAGAAAACATTTCTGAAGTGAATAGAAACACAAACAAAACACAGGAATTTGTGGGCTGCAGCTAAAGCAGTGCTCAGAAGTAAACTCATGGCTTAAAATGTTTCACATTAGAAAAGAAAGATCGACAGTCAGTTACCTAAGCATCTCCTCTAAGAAACTAAATAAAAAGAGGAAATTAAATCCAAAGAACAAAGAAGGAAGAAAATAGCAAAGATTAGAGAAGATATTGCAATTGAAAACAGAAAACAACACAGAAGGTTAATCAAACCAAACTTAGTTCTTGAAAAGATTTTAAATTTTTGATTAAAATTAATAGGAAAATCAAAAGATACAAATTATCAACATCAGAAAAACAAGAGGGAGGTGTGCTTACTGACACAACAGACATTGAAGAGATCATAAAGGAAGGTTAGCAAAAACTCTTATATTAGTTCAGGTTACTATTACAAATCGCCATAAACTGGGTGACTTAAACAACAAATATTTATCACAGTTCTGGAAGCTGGAAGTCCAAAAAGAGTGCTAGCCTGGTCATGTTCTGTCAGCACTCTCATGCACTAGACCACTGACTTCCTGTTATTTATTCACACAGTGCAAAGAGGTACTAGTTGCCTGGACTCTTCTTGTAAGAGCACTCTAAACTCTTCATGGAAGCTCCACCTGCATGACTTAACTACCTTCCAAAAGTTGCACCTCTAAATGGAGACATCAGGATCAGAGTTTCAACATATGACTGGAGGAAAGGGAACAAATATTCAGTCCACTGCAAACTCTATGCCCACAAACAATTCACATAAATAATAAGCAAATTCCTTAGAAAAAAAACAAACTTCTAAATTCACTTAAGAAGAAAGATAACCTAACCTAAATAATTATACACACACAAATGCAGAATATATATATAAAATATGCAGTTTACATATTATACTATATATACACATATGTAATAAACTACATAATACATATATGTAGCATGATACATAAATAAAGGAAATAAACAAAAAGTCTATAACATCAGGCTTGAGAGTAAGAGACTGAATGATTTCTAAAATTGGGAAAAATAAGAGTGGCATCCATACTCACCACCGTTACTCAAGACTGTGCTAGAATTATCAGCTAGTGCAATATGACAAGAATAAAAACAAAAAGATGTGGAGTAGTTCTATTAAAAAAAAAAAACATCCACACAAACAAAATAATCTACAAACAAGTTCTCTGAACTAATAAGAATTTTAGCAAAATCAAAATACAAGGCCTGTATATAATCCTATGCCTATAAACAAACAATAATTAATGGGTTGGAATTTGAAATTACAGCAACAATATTATTTAGCATGTCATCAAAACTATTTTTTAAAATCTTGATATTGATAACGTGAAAGCTGCAAAACACTGAAGAAGGAAATCCTAAATAAATGAGGAGAGACACTGGTAATTCTCTTCAAGTAAATATAGAGATTCAACACAATTCCAGTTGAAATGCCAGCATGCTTGTCTTCCTTTCTCTTTTTCTTTTAATAAGGAAAGGAGATCATTTTAAATTCTTAGAGAAGATGAAAGTTAGAAAACTACCTGATTTCAAAAACTTCTTTCATGTGTGTGTGGTGCTTGGGATCTAAGCCAGGGTAGGCAAACACTCTACCACTGAATGCTTCTCTGGTCTTCTATACAGTAATCAAGATAATACAATGCTGGCATAGGACAGACATGTAGATGAATAAAATAGAACAGAGACTCCAGAAACACACTCACAAGTATACATTCACTAATATTTCTGTTTGTTTACTTGTGGTGCTGGGGATTGAACCAGGGCCTTGTGCATGCAAGGCAAGCACTCTACCAACTGAGCTACATCCCCAGCCCATTTTTATTTCTAAGTAATGCAAAGACACAATTTGATGGAAAAACAGCCTTTTCAACAAATAGAACTAGAATAACTGGACTCCCTATTTTAAAAGTTTAAAACGTGACATACAACTCATATTTTCTATGTAAGTTAATAATCAATGGATCATAATCTAAGTGTAGAAAGTTAAACTTTAAAATTTCTAAAAGAGAGCAAGAATAAATCTGTATTACTTTTAAGTTCTGAAGGTTATAGACAGAAAAAACAAACCATGATCCATAAGATAAAATTAATAATTGGACCTTATCAAGATTAATGCTCAGTTTTAGCCAGCCACTTTTGAAACCATACCAATAGAAGAAACAGGTGGCAACATCATTACCTGCCAAGTGGGAACAGACGTCCAGACTCCTGGCCGATCTCCACTGGCACCCTGGGTTAGGGAGACAGCCTCCACATTAACACCAAGCAGAGGTGGGAGATCAGGCATCCCTCAGGCATCTGCTGACACTAACTGTCTTCCATTTCATCAGGTGCCAAGGCCCCTAGTTCATCATCCTTCTCTCCACTTTGCAGGATTTCTGTGTGTGTGTGTGTGTGTGTGTGTGTGTTTTCACATAAATACATACGTCTGAACTCGGGGTACAGTAGGAAGGAAAATGCTTACTCTACTTTTCCTCAATCCTTTCCTAAGAAGAGTCATGAACCTATTGTATATAGTCTTATAGGACATTTCTAATTTACTTTGATAACCAGCTATTTAAGTCATTTGGATCCATTTTTCTGTGTTACTTTTAAGTTATTTCAAGATCCTATCCCCAATGTCCTAGAGTGCCACTTGAGACCAACTGTCTTAAAGCACGTGTTTGCTTGAGCTTTCCACCCTGTTTCTCTAATTTATTAGACGATCTAACTCCTGACCCAAGTACTCCACTGCTCAAGTCTCCATATCTGGTAGACCAAGCCCTCCTGTATCATTCTTATTTATGAATGGGATCTTGTCTAGTATGGCATTAAATCTATACATATATATCCCCACTTGAGTTTATCACGTAGGTATTTCTTCTCTTTATTAGGGTTACCTAAAGTTTGACCCATTCTGTTGTTTTTTATTCTAAGAAATTGTCCATTCCTTGGTTTTATAGTTTATTAATTTCTGATTTTACTTTTAAATTCTTCTACTTTCATTAGTGTATTTTTGTTACTCTTTTTGCTTAATTTATTAAGCAAACTTACTCCTGTTAACTAATTTAGCTATAGTTGAAGGTTCCTAATATACAACCACATATATTCAAAAGTATGCAATTTTGGATTTCCTTTTATATACATTGATTAATAAAGATAATTTTTTTAGTTTTCATGTAGCACTTTTGTTTATTCATTTTATTAATTTCTAGATTTATCACACTATGTTCAGAGAATATTTGTGGCGATTCTAATTAGTTAGAATAATATTACATTTTCATTTTCTTATGATTATTTCATGGGAACAATCTTTGCATTCGGCATCCATAAATTTATGGTTCACTTGAGTACAATGCTATTTATATCTCCTACAGTAGTACTACTGTTTAATCAGATGACATATATTATGATGTCCTAATTCTAATGAGTTTTAGTTTCTTAGGACTCCACTATTTGGTGATTTTTTGAATACTGATATTATTTTATTTGGTATAATCATTCAGATTCTTAAAACTTTTTTTAACCCATGTTTTTGAGCAAAAGAGGTTTCCTTTCTTTTTCAAGTCCAATGACTTGAGAGTGCTAGGCAAAGGTCTGCCACTGAGCTAAATACCCAACCCCAAGGGGCTTCTTTTAATTCAATGTACTTTAACTTGCTAACGCCAAATCTGAATAACAAGGGGAGATAAAACCTACATTATTTTATTCTTATTGACTTAACAACTTTACCATTCTTTTATGCTCCATCTAAATTAGGCCAACCTTTATGTTATTTGTTTACAGTCTTCTCTTTATAAGTTATTTTTCTGAGACATTTGTTACAGTGACAGACAGCTGGATTAGTATCACACTACGGGTTTAAGGACCCCAATTCTCTGATAGTGCTCACTCACCTGGGTACTTGTGGCTTAGGAATCTGTCCTCTAAAGACCACGGTTCTTCTCCTTGCTCCAATTTGAATATCAACTTGGGCTTGGTAATGCAATACCCTATAAATAGAATAATTGAGGGTGCTTATGTACCAGATCCTCAGTCTTTTGGGTTTGCAAAAAATGGGTTAAAAAAAAACAGGCAAGTAAAGGTGCTCAAGTAAATGTGCTCAACTGAAGTGTACTATTTCTGTTTTGCTACAGGTTTCAATTACTTTAGACCTCTTAATCCAAAGCTTGATTACCAATGTTCATCTCGATAGAGTCCACGTGTTTTGATAATTAGAAAACAAAAAGGAAATATATTCTAGAGGGAGTCACATGGTCAGGTCTGCTCACCCACGGAGACCAGGTGGCTGTAGTTCTCCAGCATCACCTCTCTGTACAGAGTCCTCTGAGCAGGGCCCATGTGCCGCCACTCCTCCGGGGAGAGTTCCACAGTCACATCCTCGAATGACACTGATCCCTGTGTCAAACATTTTGTTCAAGGGCTCAGAATTAGATAACAGAAAAAAAAAATGCTTTTGAGAACTACTTTTTCTATCTGTTCTGGAGCTCAAAACTGAATGGTTTTACAAAAGGCCTACCCTGGACCTAATTTTGTTGTAAACTTTGGTATTACTCAATTAGTTAGATAAGCTTTTAGTGTACTGTAATTCATTTATATACGTAAATGAATTACAGATTTTCAAAGACCAAAAAAAAAAAAAAAAAAGCCAATGTAGACAGACATTCTACAATTATTTATTCACATCCCAATGGGTCACCCTAGGTATTCTCTAGGATGTTCACATTTTCCTTGGACAGCATCATATAACTAATGGAAGCCAACAAAGAGATCCATATATGCTCTGTAGACCTTGCACCTGACAGAACTCAAGTAGAAAGACATATAAATCTAGAGCACCCGAAGAGCAAAGAACAGTTTACAAAGGAGTTGGAACCAGAGTTGGAACACTACCTATACTAAAATAATAGTAATTGTGATAATAGGAATAGATCACACAGGAGGAAAAAAATCACCATGTGGTTAACAACGTTCTCATGTAGCTACCCGGTCCAGATGCTTAACCAGCTTTTAAATTTTTTTATTTTATTAAAAAAAATAGTGCCAAAAATTGATATGGTGGTGCAAAAAACTTGGTATTGGAGAAACAAAAGTAAAAAATGCATTAGAAGTTGTAGTGAAACGGATCTGTTCATGCAGCTACTAAGGGTCCATTGAACATAAAGACAGAAAGGTCTCTTAAATAAGTATGCACTTGATTTTAGGGCAGAGAACAGATAGCTAACTTGAAGGTGGTATTTTTAGAGTTACTAACAATTTAAGTGCTATCATCAGACAGCTCCCAGAGCACATAGGGATTAAGGAAGAAAAAATACAAAAATAACAGCTAAAGAACCAGGGTTATTAAAAAGGCTGGTAGAAAATGTACAGGTCACAAAGCCAGAAGAGTTTCCTGCAAACTAATAACAGAATTAGGAGAGGGTATCTTAGAAGCCAAGAAAAGGGAAATTTCCCACAACAAAAAACTTCAAATTCAAGCTAACAAGTGTTAAGAGTGAAATAGTAAAGACCCAAGAATATTCTCTCTTCACAAAAGCAATAAAAATCTAGTAAAAAGTGAAGAATCAACTTTTTCAGACCTCTGTAAGCTAATCCAAAATTCACAGCAATCTGAAGAGCTGTTATAAAAGAAAAACAGCAGCATCATACTAAGAACTGTGATCTTGGGACATTTTAACTTGTCCATCTCCATGTCTTTCCCCTCAATTCTGCAGTAGCTTCAACTGAGAACCAATGGTCTGAAATACAGTGAAAAATAGCAGTCTGGCAACTAGGAGGAGGCAGATCTGGGTTCACGTTCAAAGCCTCACTCCCAGACACTCACTCATCATTTGACCTGTCTGATAGTTCCCAGCAGAACACACTTGCAAAGCTCAGCTAGTTAAAAAAAAAAAAAAGCCTTATCCTCAAAGGCCTTACTTAGTCAAAGGCATTTAAAGCAATTGTTTAACTTAGCAGTGCCCTGGAATGGTGATAAACAGTGGGAACGTCAGTTTCAGTTTTCAAAAAACTAAAAAAGAAAAAAAGAAGAATGACATGTGCACAAAAGTCTTGAAAAGTTCCCTTATATTCCTGAGACTCTAGAAGGCTGCCAACATAGAGCTGAGCAGCCGGTCGGGATTGTGAGCATGCTTAGGACAGACAGGAGAAGGCCCAAGGCTACCGCTCTGCATGACCTGGAAGTCTACAGTAAGCAGAGCATGAAGGCTGGTTCAGAGGTGGAAATGGCCTGATGCTCCTAAAGGAGCAGAACCCTTTGGCAAAACCCGGAAGACATACTGATTTCAGGAATTAAAGAAATTTCTGCAGAGACTTCAGCTGCCTGCCACTCACAACAAAAACACAGGCTCTTCAGAACTAGTTGTTAAAGTCACTGAATAAATAAATTTCAACCCTCACTCCTGTGGAGGGGAGAAATTCTTGATTTCTACAGTTGCCACAGTGTTTTATTTAAAATATCCAGTTTTCAACAAAAAAATTACAAAAGATAAAAATTAAAAAGAAAGTAATATCCATGTGGAAGGGGAAAAGTGCAATAAATAGGAATAACTCCTGAGGAAACAGATACTGGATTAACCAGACAATGACTTCAAATCAGCTATTTTAAATCTGGTCAAAGACCCAGTGAAAGATGATGTCTAAGGACCAAAATAAAACATGAAAATCACATTTCACCCAATAAAGTATACGAACAAAGTGATAAATGTTGTAAAAAGGAATCAAATAGAAACTCTACAGTTGAAAAGTACAATAACTGAAAAAAAATTCATATAAAAATTTGTTCAACAGTAGATGTGAGCAAGTGTGGGGGGGAGCAAAGGACGACATACGTGTCTCTTAAGAGTATGCAATGAGGGAAACAAAGAAATAATGACAGAAAATGAGCTGTGGGACAGCATCAAGCTTGTTCTCAGGCAGGATGAGAGTGCCAGACAGAAAGAAGAGTGGGCCTGAAAAGAAATTAAAGAAAACAATAGCAATGAAGTCCCGAAATTCATGATTAGTCTACACCCTGAAGCAGCTCAAAAAACTTCAAATAGGATAAACTTGGAGTAAGAGGCCACAGCTGGACCCTTGATAATCAAAGTGTTAAAAAGCCAAAGACAGACAATCTTTTTTTTTTTTTTTTTTTTTTTTTGTGGTACTGGGGACTGAACCAGGGACATTCTACCACTGAGCCCCATCCCCAACCCTGTTTATTTTTATTTTGAAACAAATTCTCACTAAGTTGCCCAGGTTGGCACTGAACCTGCCTCAGCCTCCTGAGTAGCTGGGATTACCTGCCTAGGTCACTATAGGCAGTAACAAAGAGATAATTTTAAAATTAGCAAGAGAGAAATGACTAGTCATATTAAAGGTGATTTCTAATGAGAAACCATGAAGACAGAAGTTAATGGGATGACATATTCAAAGTACTCAAAGAAAAAAACTGTCAACCAAGAATCATCAACAGGCAACCAAAACCTCCCCAGAGAAACAAAAACTAAGAAAATTCATCAAAGGCAAAACTGCCCTATGAGAAATAAAAAGGGTGTGGTCCAGACAGAAAGTAGATTAAAGTTGCTTGGGACTTGGAAAGAACACAGTGAGAGTTAGGGGTTTGAAGGCAATGAAGATGTTCTAAAACTAATTGTGGTGATTCCTTCATGAACCTGAGAACACAGTGAAAAATTCCTGAATTCTGCATTTAATTGGGTGAGCAGTATAATACATGAACTAAATCTCAACAAAGCTGAAAAATAAGAGAGGATGAAGTCATCAGAGACAACAAAGAAGACCAAAGGGTCAGGGATGGAGTACAGAGATGAGCCACGTGAAAGGACAAGAGACGATGACTCCCTGAAGACACTGGCAGGGAAAGGACAGGACAGTGCAGAGAAACTTTCCAGGACAGAACGAGAAGTAGAGGCAAGTGTTGCACAAAAGTTAAGTAAGGAAAGGAGGAGGGCCACTGGATGTATTACAACCCACAGGGCCCTGAGATCACAGGCAATCTTCTATGTTTTTAGCAAGTTATTAACTAAATCACCAACTTGAACCTTCCACAAGGAAGCAGTCTCCTTTAGATTTCTCATCAATGTAAATCTTTAAGTATTATCTGTCTGACACTCTGCCATGACTATCAGAAACCTCAGAGAAGTATTGCAGCTCTTTTAGAATTTGTCTAGCAGGTTTTCTGGCTATTGCCGGAAGGCCCCCCCACCAAAAAAAAAAAAAAAAAAAAAAAAAAAAAAACCTCAGAAATAAACTGTAACTTGGCTTGGTAAATTTACAATATTTAAGGACCTGTGTCTACCCATGTGCTACTTTTGACTCTACTGTTGCTCAATATTTCCGTACCTTCTATGAAAGTCTTTCTACTTTTTCCACGTTAATGTACAGACACAGAAACCTTTATAAAATCAATTGTAAAACAAACTGGTTATTACAAACCAAACTCACCGGATATGTGTTCATTTTCTGCAGCTCCTAGAAGAGTGGAGGAAACTGAAGATTCAGCTGGGGATAAGAGAAACAGGGGTCATCAGAGACGTAGTTTGCCTTAAAACTGTAAAAATCTCATCATATCAGCTGTATAAAAAGGTTCCTGATGAGGAATAGCCCTTTGACTCTTAAAAGGGACAAGAAAGACTACATAGAGGCAGCAAGAACTAAACACGTGCATCTCGATATGATTATATGTCACCAAGGTGAAAATCGTTTTTTGTTGATATATCAAAAAAGTTAAAATAAAAGAACAGGATTGGCTAACAAAGCTCAACCACATAAGAAATGAAACTCTATCTTCATTAAAACTAGTGTCACAAAAACTATACGGGCTGGCTTATTAAATTCTTACTGTCTTTCCAAAGTTAGAATACACACAGAAAATTCAGAAATAAAGATGGGATGTTTTATGCAATATATTTTTAAACTTTCAATTCTAAATTGGTTGTTGATTTTTTAAAGAAAGACCTTTTGATAAGTTGCTATGGCACTCATCTGTGTAAGTGAACAGCACTCTGCTTGGCTCCTGGTTCTGCCCTGGGTAACTTTAAGACTCAGGATTTTTGAGCTTCCAATATAGAAAACTTCCTCTACTATCATTTTGTTATTCTCTATGTTCAGGAAAGAGGGAGCATCACATAACTCTACATGCCACATGAGATGACTGGCATGGTATGAGACAGCTCAGGATCTGGAAAGGCTGAGGGGAGAATGAAGGAAATGGGATGTTGAAGATTTTGACAGTTGGTTGTCTCCCCCAGATATCAAGCCCTCACCAGCCCTCCAGGAAGTGCCTTTTGCTTTGCAGCCTGGTGGCCATCCATTCCTTTCAACACCAAGTTGAAAACTAGTTCACAGCATCCATGATCACAAAGCCTGTGATGCCACTGGAAGTGGTGGCTTCACCAAGTCTGACTCATGCTGTGTAGGGAATCAAGAACTGCCTCTAACAGAGCAAAGCAGTACCTTCTCCTTTCTAGAATCTTCTGTGTTTGCTCTGAAGCTCTGGGAGGAATCTCATCAAACTTCTAGTTAGTGGCAGTAGTCACTAGGACTCCCTCTTCCCTGCTTATAAAAGCTGCTTTGCTCCATGGTTCCAGGACCAGACCTGAGGAGCAAATTTGAACCCTCACCTAACACCCTAAACCTGATTCTTCTGGAATTCACTAGAAGTATGCTATCCTTTATTGTAGCCTTATCCACATGCAATTACTGAACACCTTAAATTTGGCTCATGTCCCAAGCCAAAATAATATATTGGATGTACTGAGTTAAATGAAATACATCAGTGAAATTGGCTTTGTCTGATGATTTTTTTTTTTCCTGTAGTCACTGAAAACTTCCAAATTTCGTGCATGTTTTGCATTATCTTTCTACTGGACAGCACTGCACGGCAACATCGATCTGTGCCTTTGAGGGCACAGATAGCCTGAAACGTGCAGAGAGGTTCAGGAGCTGAGATCCTTCTGACCCAAGCGCTCTGTGGAGATCCCACAAATCCCAGGATCTGTTTCGCACATGGTGAGATTCTCTCCACAATCTATCACAGTCATCATCCTTGGAGACTTGGGAACAGCCGCGCCACCTAAGTCCTCTGAAGGTTTCAGGCAGGAAGGATGTAAAGAAGAGCCAGTGACAGGGGGTAAAACTGTGTTGGAGGGGTGGGTCCTCTCTCACCTACTTAAGGTGTCCTGGGGCACCCACCCCCATGAATACCTTCCATGTTTTAAAATGGCTTGTTTAATAAACACGTCCCGAAGGTGCAATAAATGCCAAACCAAGAAAACAAGCGTCTCCTGCTCAGGACTACACTTGCTCGGTGCTTGTGACCCGCATTTGACAAAACGTCCTACAGGCAGCTAAGGGGGGTGGAGCTGGCGGTCACAGCCTCCCGCCGGTCACCAAGGCTACCACCGCGCATCCCCCTCTCCGCACCGCAGACCCCGGGCCGCGCGGGGACCTGCGCGCTCGGTCCCCCGCACACGCCCACCTGTCCCGAGGCTCCACGCCGCGCGGAGCCGTCGCCGGCGCTCTCACCCGGGGGCACAGCGTCTGCTCTCGCACAGAAGCCAAGCGGCGGAGGCAGCATCCCGTGCCGGGCGGGGCCTGCGCGTATGCAGACGGAGCTCCGACCGCCGTTCCCAGAGTGCAGCGCGGGAAGCCCGTGACGTCAGAAACTACACTTCCCATGAGCCTCTGCGCCCCGGGCACGATTTTGCTGGGCTTCCTTAGACCTGAGGGAGAGTTTGGCCTGAGGTTTGCAACCTGGGTGTTTCCAGAATATGGGCCTAACAAGCTGCAATGCGTGGTTCCCAATTGGATGCTCTTTGGGAGGAAAAAACAGCTGCAAACAGATGTTAACAGCCGGGGGCATGAATATGGCTGGACATTAAAAGTACTAAGAAAAATTACCCTTACTTGGTGTGATGATATTGAGAAATTGTACAGTTGTGTGTTTGAAGATTAAAGTATTACTTTAAAATGATGCAACGAAACAGAAAGCAATTACGGCAGAATTGTTAAATGCTGCATGTTAATTGTTAAAAGATTCAGAATTGTTAAATCTGTATGTGCAATGCTCTTTTACCATTTTCAACTGTTCTCGGTATTTGACTGTTTATGACGTACATAGGAAAAGACCTGGAGAGGGGGAAATTGGGGGTAGGGAAGTGAGAAGACCGTCCTATCCGTATGGAAGTATGCCTTTAAACTCAAAACTGCCAAGAGAAATAAAGGTACATTCAAATATATCTTGAAATAGTACACCTACTAGCAGTGTTTATCTGGAAGGTGGGCGGAGGGAAGCTAGCTGATCAAACTTACCCAGTCATGCGTGAAAACACATGCAACCCAAAATAAGAAAATGATCATTTCCTCAACCTTGCATTTCCATGAGGAAATCTTCCTTGAAACTTAACGTGTGCATTATGACATTAAAAAAAAAAAAAAAAAAAAAAAACCCTTAGGGACATGTGATACAATAATAGTTTTTTTTTTAATTAATAAGCTTTTTTTAGAGCAGCTTTCCATATACAGAAAAATCAAGCAGAAAGCCAAAGTCCCCACATACTCACTCTCGTCAGCCTACACTCAGGTTCCCCTACTATTAACATCTTGTATAGAATAGGATGTTTTGTACAATTAGTGAAATTCACTCTTCGTTTCCTATAGTTCTTTGGGTTTTTTCAAATGCAAAATGGGGTGGAGCATGACTTCCACTGATACAATAACGTAACATTCATTAAAGTTATTTATATAGGGGCTCAGAATCAATGGGGCCTTCGGGTCATTATAGTAATCATCCAAAATTATTTCACATCCCTAAAAATCCTCTATGCTCTACCAATTCACCCTCCCATATATTTTCCTTTGGCTGAATGTTATTTAGTTGGACAGTTGGAATCACACAGTATGTTGCCTTTTCATACTAGCTTCCTTAAAACAGACATGTGAATAATCATTTTCCATATCTTTCCACAGCTTGATATCTCATTTAAAAAAATCTCTGGATAATACATTCCAGAGTATGGATATACCACAGTTTATCCACTTACGTATATAAAGACATCTTTGATGCTTCCAAGTGTTTGCAGTTATGAATAAAACTGCTATAAACTTTTGTACACAGGCTTTTGTGTGGACCTAGTTTTTCAAACCTGCTAGGTAATTATTAAGGAACACAATTACTAGACTGTGTAGTGAAACTACATTTAGGTTTATTGTTTAAAAATCTGCCAGGCTGTCTTCAGAAGTATCTTTCATTTTATATTCTCACCAGCAATTGCTCCACATCCTTACTAGCATTTAATGTTGTCAGTGTTTCAGATTTTGGACATTTTAATAGGTATGTAGTGATGTGTTCCTGTAAGACTCATAATTTGCAATTCTCTCATAACATGATTCCAGGCTTCTTTTAATATGCTTATTTGCCATAAGCATGTCTTCTTGGGCAAGGTGTCTGTTCAACTTTTTCACTCACTTTTTATTGTCCTATGATTGAATTTTAAGAGTTATTTTTGTATTAGAAATAAAATTATTCAGCCCGCCCGCTGTGGAAGCGGCTGCGGCTGAGCGGCGAGCAGCGTCGCGATGTCGGGGCTGCCCACTAGCCTGGAGCCCCTGCGCCCAGAGCAGAGCGCGCTGGAGGCGTCGCGCGCTCGCTTCGTGCTGGGGCTGGACGTGGGCAGCTCTATGATCCGCTGCCACGTCTATGACCGGACGGCGCGGGTCTGCGGCTCCAGCGCGCAGAAGGTAGAAAATCTTTATCCTCGAGTTGGCTGGGTTGAAATTGATCCTGACATTCTCTGGACTCAATTTGTTGCTGTAATAAAAGATGCTATCAAAGCTGCAGGAGCACAGACGAACCAGATTGTTGGTCTTGGTATATCCACACAGAGCAACTTTCATTACGTGGAACAGGAAAACAGGAAATCATTTTCACAACTTTATTAGTTGGCAAGACCTAAGAGCAATTGAACTTGTAAAATCCTGGAATGATTCTCTTGTAATGAAGTTCCTGCACAGTTCCTGCAGAGTGCTGCACTTCTTCACTAGAAGTAAGGAACTCCTAGCAGCCAGTCGGTTCACCTTCACCATCCAGCAGGCTTCTTTGCGATTGGCCTGGATTTTACAGAACCTGACAGAGGTACAGAATGCAGTTGAAGAAGAAAATTGTTGCTTTGGGACTATTGATACCTGGTTGCTATACAAGCTCACAAAAGGTTCTCAGTATGCCACGGATTTTTCAAATGCCAGTACAACTGGACTTTTTGATCCATATGAGATGTGTTGGAGCAGGCTCATTACCTCCATGATTTCCGTACCACTCTCTCTCCTGCCTCCCGTGAAGGACACCAGCCACAATTTTGGATCAGTGGATGAAGAGATATTTGGGGTGCCTATACCAATAGTTGCCTTGGTCGGCGACCAGCAATCAGCCATGTTCGGAGAGTGCTGCTTCCAGACAGGAGATGTAAAATTAACCATGGGAACTGGGACTTTTTTGGATATTAATACTGGAAACGACCCTGAACATACTGTTGGAGGCTTTTATCCATTGATCGGGTGGAAAATTGGACAAGAAGTTGTATGCTTAGCTGAAGGCAATGCAGGAGACACTGGAAGTGCCATAAAATGGGCTCAGCAATTAGATCTTTTCACAGATGCTGCTGAGACTGAAAAAATGGCCAAAAGTTTGGAAGATTCTGAAGGAGTTTATTTTGTTCCATCTTTTAGTGGATTACAGGCTCCATTAAATGACCCCTGTGCATGTGCTTCTTTTATGGGTTTGAAGCCTTCTACCAATAAACACCATCTTGTCCGAGCAATACTGGAGTCAATAGCTTTCAGAAACAAACAATTATATGAGATGATGCAGAAAGAGATCCATATTCCTGTTACAAACGTCCGGGCAGATGGAGGCGTTTGTAAGAACGGTTTTGTCATGCAGATGACTTCAGACCTGATTAATGAGAATATAGACAGACCAGCCCACTTTGACATGTCCTGTTTGGGTGCTGCTTCTCTTGCTGGCCTTGCTGTTGGGTTTTGGACTGACAAGGAGGAACTAAAGAAATTGAGGCAAAGTTAAATGGTTTTCAAGCCGCAGAAGAAATGTCAAGAATATGAAATGAATATGGAAAACTGGGTCAAAGCAGTGAAATGCTCCATGAATTGGTATAACAAGACATAACACTAAATGAAACAGTCAAGACTGTAGCCGGCTGGTGGATGCCACCTGCAGATTACAGTGCTCAGGGAGGACTGGTACAACAGGGACCACAGAGAAGATTCAAAATGAGCTTCGCAACCTGGGAGAAAAAGTGTTGCTCTTAAAAAACAAAAACAAAACTAACTAAAAAACACTAACTTTTTTTTTAATCTTGGTAAAATTATAAGGCGGCAGCAATACCTCAAAACTTCGTCTTCAATTTTCTAGCAAATTCCACAGGACATCAGCCATTTCCAACTGGATTTTGACAGTTATGAGCCCTCCTCTTTTTTAAACTGGGTCAGTGGTACATGGAACATAATTGTTTAGCATCCGAGAGCTAATAATTCTAGGTGAAACACCATTCACATTTTGCTCCAAATTATTGGAAAAATATTTCTTTAATTCTTTACAACTAAGTGGGCCAAACCAGGCATAGTGGAGCATACTTGTAATCCTGTCTATTTGGGAGGCTGAGGCAGAAGGATCAAGGCCAGCCTCAGCAATTTAGAGAGACCCTATCTCAAAATGAAAAGGGCTGGGATGTAGCTCAATAGCAGAGCACCCCTGGGTTCAATCCCCAGTACCAACAAAAAGAAAGAAAGAGAAAATTAAGTGGGATATTTGAAATCCATAAAGCTAAAAAGAAAGAGTAACTGAGAAAATATGGAAGTTTAAAATAATAAAAATTCAAATGTAAAGCCATAATTTTTCAATGTCATATCCAAATATGAGCTCAATGTGCCCTTCTCAGAAAAGCTTATTATTGAGTCAATTTTTTCCTTTTTTGGGCGTAAAGATACTGCCCTAATTTTCCCTTGTCCAGCCAAAATCTAAGCATTCTTTATATGTGGAAAAGCACTGGAAAACTAATTTTAGTTAATGGACTGAAATATATAATGATTTTTAAGGAACAGAAAAATATCTTTTAGTTTCTTTCTCAAATAACATTTCTTTCAAAAATTCTGGATGAAGTATAACATTCTATTTTTTTACAAAATGCAGGCAGTTAAACTACATCTTGCCTTTCTTCTCCTGTTCTTTATCTCTCTTAGTTATTGAGATGCTTACATAAGTGTCTTTTGGTTTTATTAAGTGCCTAATTGATAGATTTTAGTTTTAAAAAGGTGCCCTAGTTTATTGGCAATTTAAGACTTGCCTTCATGGCGGTATTTCACTTGTTGGTGTCTCATTCTAATGTTTGTCCAGCCTACTCATCTCTCTGAGCTACATGCAGTGGCACGTAGAATTGACAGGAGTGCATTCACAGTCACAGTTGCCCTTCTAGCCACAGAGCTGGAGATCCACAGAGAGGAGCCGAGTTCATTCATTACTCCCACTGTCAGATTTCATTTCTAGAATCAATGTAAAGGAGAAACCCCAGGCTGAGTATGAAATTGTCGTAAGGCAGCTGACCAG